ACCGGTAAATTGAGTTTGGAACAAAGACAAAGAGACATTGGTATAGTACTCACATATAATTTTACCCAAGGCCCATCATAAAATTATTTATGCAACTTAAAAGTACCATAATAACAAAAGCACCAGGAAGCAAAGTAATCAGAAAGTACCTTCTGCCATGTAGCACCAAACTCACCCCCAAATGAGGAATATTTCTACTTTAAATTCAAAATATGCTATATTCCTCACATGTTTTCTCCAAATGAGGATACTCAGGATACTCTTCACCTTACCTAGGTCCAAGAACTCCATTCTGTTAAAATCTCTGTAAAATTAACTAAACCCAAAAATTCCTCTGCAATCTGCTAAGCAGCCCTTCCTTTTGCACCTCTGCCAAAAGCACTCTGCATGGAAAAATCCTGACCCCGGTGCTTTCCTACACCTATAAAAGGACTTGATTCCAAACAACTGCAGGAGCCTTTACAGGGAAATTTAAAATCTTTGCTGTCTCCCTCATGCTTCAGCCCCCAGGGGCAGGGTGAGGGACTGTACCCAAACCTTTTGTTTTGTTCCATCACCTATGATGATTCAGACTGCTCCTTAGATCACTCATCTCCACTTTCACAAAGGAAAACAAGGGATACTTAGGGAAATAAGGACCTACCTTTTACTGGAACTACTTATGAAACTTGATTTCCTGTTTGTCTCAGAGCTACCACAGAGCTCCTCTGATGTCCAATAATATCTGCACTCCAGCAACAGCTTTTCTTCCAGCAGAGCACTCATCTGAGATTGCCCTCCTCACAGGTTCTTGTGCTCTCACAACTCAGTACTTACCTGGGACAAACCCACTCTCCTGCCAAATCTGATGGACTTTTCAAGGTGTTAACCAATTTCATTCAAGGGCACTAACCATGCCAGGCAATGGGAAATTGAGCTTTGAAGCACAGGAAGATAGCCAGAGTTCCCAATAAAGACAATTTTCATGAAGCAGTCCTGAGTTAGAAGTATAGACAGCTCTCAACCACAAAGAGACCTACCCTTGGAGCATCAGGGAAGACATTTCTCCAAAAGAAAAACAAAGCACCCTTCCTCTTCAAGCACATAAAGCTTAAAAAAATAATTTAAAAAATAAGTTAAAGTGTAAAGAAGGAATAGAAGCCACAAAGACGGAATTATAATACTGCACACAGGAGAAGCTCCCTGGCACTTCCACAGATGCTCGGCATTGCACAGAAAAAACCTCAGCAACAACCAACTTCCACCAGCACAGCCAACTGAGGAAAGCAGAGCAGCACTCCCAAAGCCCTGTAAGCAGGTGATACTCACAGAGGAAGCTCTGGAATGGGGTTACAGGCACAGGCTGGCTGTGCATGCAGAGGACAGCAGTGAGTCACAGCCCTGGGCAGGCAGCACTGACTCAGCCCGTGCTCCTGCTGGGAACAGAAGCTCAAGGTAACCCCGGCAGCTTTTGTGCAGGAGATGGATTCCCTTGTCTTGGGGACAGACACACAGCACAGCTGACCCACAGGCAGGGAACAGGAAAGGATCCTGAATCCTCTGCAACCAGACATTCCTAAGAGGATGACTGTACCGAGCATCCTCTGAGCTCACACAGTAATAGCAGTTACATTAATTTCTTTGGTGATTTTTTTACCTTTATTATTGCCTAAATGGACTCATGTGCTGCTGCTTTGGTCAGCTACAGCCTCAAATAGTCATATCTGGTTCCTACTAGCTCCCACAGCCTGCTGATGACCTCTTTAAGGACTTAAATTGCAAAAACAACTATTTCTCATACCTACCATACAAAAAACATTCACTAAAAGGATTTAAAAAATGTTAAACAGCAGGAAAGAGAAAAAAACCCAGCCACGCTGTCTCCAAACAGGAAAGAAACTTTTGCTTTAGAATGCCATTTCACTTGCTTACATAATCATTTCACCAAGGGGTTTTTTTGGGTTTTTTTTTTTTGGTCAGGCAGCATTTCTACTATAAAGGTATTTCCTTTCAAACCAAGATACATACATAACAGCATCCACAGATAAATACAACCCAAACATACAGTTTCAATGTTCAGTACTTCAACATAAGCTGAAATCCACACTGCAGCAGCTGGATGGCTTGAGTTTCAAACGTGCCAAGCACCTACCAGCTCCAGAAGCTGCAGGACCAGCAAGAGCTCTGGGCTCTCTTCACCAGAGCAGATATCTCAGGCATCCAAGCAAAGACCCTCAGGTTCCTGATTTTGAGTGCAAGAGCCTAACAAGGCGCTCACTGCAGGCACCTGGGGACAACCCACCTGAAACCACCCTGGCACCAACACCCAGCCCAGGGAAACACTGCAGCCAGGGGAACATTCCCCACCTGAAACACAGCCAGCACTGCCATGCCCAAAACCTCCTCGGGGCACAGGTGACACTGGCAGCACGGACTGCTGAGAGGGCATGGCACACTCAGGGTCTGTCCAGGGCACTCTCACAGCAGTGTTGGCCAGAATCTCTGACTGGGTGATTGGGAACAACTACAGGCAGCAACCTGGGGTTTGCCACGTGTAGGCATCAGTTTGCTAGGGAATGGCAGAGCCTCACCTGGTCCCAGTCCCAAACTGTCTGAACTGGCAAGCCCAGCCACTTAGGCTTTACTCACTTATACCTCTTAAAAGAGAAAAAAGTCTCATTTAGTTAAAAGTTCTCCAGAAGACCTTTGTGCTCACAGCAAGCAGAGGCCTGCCACTGAGGGCTTATGGGACTGCACTTCCATTCCCAAAACACAGTCCACCCACAAAAGGGCACTCAGCTTGTAACTGAGCACATAAATCTGGATAACTGGGGGCAGCATCAAAGCGGGTTGGGGTCCGTGAGCAGTGTGAGCAAAGCTATGAGACACTCCACTGAGCACAGTGGTACTTTCTCAGAAAACACAGAGCAAGCACTCCTCCTGCTGAAAAAGTTGGCTATTTTTTCTCTCTCGAGCTGAGGAGCCAGTGCTCCTCAACGTCAGCAACACAGCAAGCTGGCTGCTGAAAACAAACCCCAAAAAGCACAGGCACGTGAGAGCCTGGGCTCTGACAAAGCACCCAGCAAACTGTGGGAACACTCCTCGTGCCACCCTCGCTCCTGACTCCTGACAGCAAGAACGGTGTGCTCACACAGCTGCACCCTGGGACACTTGGAAGGCACCCCAGGCAGGAGCAGCACAACCAGGATCACACCCGAGCTGCTCTGTCCCTGTGTCACAGAAAACTGTGGAGTCAGAGCACAGATGAACGGGGCTCTGTGCTGATTTCATGATGGGCAGTGCCCCAGAGTGCCATCAGCAGTGATGCAGTCACCTGGCAGAGCCCACTGCTTGCCATCTCCACCTGAGCATGGATTTCATGGGAAAACCAGGACTGCTCAACCTTGGGAAGCTCCTCTGTGCAGCTCTGCCAGCCCTGAACAGCAAGAGTTACTGAACCTTGCCTCTGGTCAGTGCATACAACTGCATGGAGTAAGGGCCAAGAAACATAGCTCACTGCAGAGGAAAAAAAAAAGTTAGAAGATTTGGCAAAACCCCCAAAGGCATCTATCTTGGACATCCCAAAAGCAACAACAGTCATTCAAGATATGACTTGTTTATGCTACGAGGCTCATTACACAGAGGCCTGCCTATTTTTAGAGGTAGATATTGCTACAACTGAGTGCTAGATAAACCCAAACAATTATTTTCAAGGGGTATTCCATCACTAATTATTCTAAACATCTTGTGCGTCCAGGAAGGCTGGCCTGCTGCCACTCTCCAGCATAAAACAGCTCCAAGAACAATGCTACAACTTCACTCTCAGGAGTGACAATAACTCACAGAGCAAGCAGGGTGCCTGGGAGAGCCCAACAGCTCCAGTAAGCTCACCAACACTTGGATAAAATAAAAAACAGTAAGAAATGAGACCCTGATAGTGTTTATGCTAAAAAATTACATGAAGTTGGTTTTTCCTTTATATATCACCAAAAAAGGAGATAAAAATTTAAAAATTAAAAAGAAAACATTTACGCCCAGGCCAAGCATGGCTGATGGTGGCTCATCCATCAATTCTGTGCATTCACCAGCCTGAGCACAGAGTCCTGAATGCTCTGTAGACCTCTCTGCCACGACCAGTGCTTCCCTACCTGAGTCCTGAGAGGTGCAAGGTGAAGATGGGCAGAGAGCAGGAGCAGCCCAGGCCAGCGGTGCCCCTCGGGCACCAGACAGGCGCCCTTTGGAAGCCTTTTATCTCTGTTTTTTTAAGCAAACCAGACTTTGAAAAGCACAACCACACATATCACGACTGCAGTTTTGCTCCAAGCACAGCACAGATCCAACCGAATCCCAAAGGACCAAGGAAACCCACCGGGGGCCAGGGCAACAGATGGAGAAGGGCTCTGCGGGGTTATCCAGCCGGGAAGCAAAGGCGCTGGGATGTGCAGCCGCGTTTCACGCCCGAGCTGCTCTCCAAGGACGCGCCGCCTCCCCACTGCAGAGGGCGGGCGGCGGTGCCGGGGGCGGCCGGACCGGGCGCCGCCGGAGGAGCCCGGCGAGGAGGGAACACCGGGAGAAGGGCAGGGCGGAGGAGCACGGCGAGAAGGGAACACCGGGAGAAGGGCAGGCACCCCCCGCGGCAGCGCCTGCCGCGCACAGCGGCTCTCCGCTCCCCACGGCCCCGGGTTGCCGTGACGAGCGGCCGGTGCCGCTGGGGAGCTGCCCCCGGCTCGGGCGGCCGGGGCCAAACTTCCCGTGGTGCCGCCACCCCCAAAATGGCCCCAACGCCGCCGCGGCCGCTGCCCGGGGGAGCCCACCCGGGCGCCCGCCCCCGCCGGGAACGGCCGGGCCCCGCTCCGCGCCGCACTGCGCCCCCGCACCGGCACCTCCGCCGCGGCCCGGCCCCCGCCGTCCTCAACAGGTGCGGGACGGCCGGGCTGGCAACCACCGGCACCTGCCACCGCGTCAGGACCTGGACAGGTCCCGCGGGGCGCTCCCGCCCCGCCGCCGCAGCCCGGGCTCACCTCTGTCCGCGCCGCTGCTGGGCCCCTCCGCCGCCGCCGCCGCCGACGTGCAGGCCGCGCCGGGCCCGCCAGCGGCGCGAGCCCCGCGCGCGCGGGGGCGGGGCCCCGCGGGCGGCTCCGTCGTTCCCATTGGCGGGGCCGAGAGCGAGCGGGGGCGGGGCCGAGGGCGCTCGCGCGCGGCGGCGATGGCAACGGGGAGGTGAGGGGCGGGGCCGGGCGCCGGGAGGAGCGGCGCTGATTGGGCGAGCGGGGGGGCGGGGCCGCGCGGTGCACGGTTCTCGCCCCCCCTTCCCCACGGTCCTGCACCCACAGCCCGTCCCGGCCGGGACCCCCGCACCCCGCACCGCACACCCCGCACCGCACACCCCGCACCAGCCTCCACTGCCGGGACACCCAGCACCGCCCACGGGGCCCAAGGACCCAGCCTCTGCCATTCCAGCGTCATCCTGGATGCGGTGTCCGTGTCCGAGCGCATCCCTGCGCGCCAAGACGAGAAGGCCAAACAGTGTTTTCCAGAAGGGAGGGAGATCGCCACCCAAACACCGTCAGTAAAGTTCATCAGTGCTTCCACCGCGTGTATGGCTCTTGATGTGTGGTAGGGCATCAGCCTCCTGCGGAGCAGGGACTCCGGAAAGGATTAAATAACTGCGTTAAACCTGGGCTGTTTGTGACAGCAGGCTTGTGGCCACCTAGGGAGCAGCTTTCTGACCTGCATTTTGCTCTTGACATACAGTCATTATAATGGATTGGGTTGGACAGGATCTTAAAGCTCATCCCATTCCACCCTCTGCCACGGGCAGGGGCACCTTCCACTATTTGCACCAAGCCCTGTCCAAACTGGTTGGAACACTATAGGGATGGGACAGCCACATCTTCTCTGGGCAACCTGTGCCAGGGCCTGACTACCCTCACAGGGACGAATTTTGTCCCAAAATCCAATTTAAACCTACTCTCTGTCAGTTTAAAACCATTGCAGGCCATTGCAGTTTAAAGACATCTGCAGGTGCTGAGCCCAGCTCAGCCTGTGGGATGCTGCAGGACACATAGGAATGCAATTCTGGTCTTGCTCTCCCCAGTGTTTGTGGCTCAGGATCTTTTCCCCACCAGGGACTGGGATTCAGGCTTGCAAAAGCCAAGTCAGGCGTGCAGACTGATACCGCTCCTCATCTGTGCCCTTCAGAGCACTTTCATCATGTCCCAAAGTCTCATTCCTGGCCACAGTTGACTACAGACATCAACTGGTCAGAGAAATCTTAACCTTCCCACCTCTCTGCCCCTTTGAGGTTACCTGGCCACCTTTTCAGTGAAGGAATTTTTCCCAATATCCAATCTAAACCTCCCCAGGTACAGTTTGAGGCCTTTTCCTATGGGCCTAGATATGTGCTGACACGTGTTGCTGCATCAACCACCTTGGCATTGCTAAACCTTTGTGCTGAGAAGATTTCTCACTGTTTCTCCAGAGTGTTTAGGTCCCTTCAGTGCCCAGCACAGGCTCCAGGAGCAGCTTCATGGCTTCTTCCTTCTCTCCCAGTTCCTGGTGAGGTAGAGATCCATGCAGGCAGAGGGTAAAGAGGAGCAGACAAAAGCCAGTGCTGGGAACAACAACCTATTTTTATACTTCCTTCTCTCAAGGCACCGCCCTTCGCCTCTGCCGTGCTCAGGAGCAGCAGGAAAAACGGGCAGGCAGCTTTTGGCTGCTGATGCCTCCACCTCTGGGAATGCCTTGGGAATGCCTGTCTGTGTTTTCTTACCCCATTTTACACTCAGGAAATGTAACACTAACTATTGCATTTTCCCCCTGCCTTAGGATCAGCACTGAAGCCAAGAAACAAAACCACGTTCCTCAGTTCCTCCTGTGTGTCACCAAAGTGGTTGTGTCCCACCAGGATGTTGGGAAAATCACTGCCAGAACCAATCCTGTGCTGTGTGCTCTGGGATGACCCTGCCTGAGCTGGGAGGTTGGACTGGGTCACTTATTGTGGTCCCTTCCAACTTGACCCCAAAATGTGGCAGGGACAAGGCTGGGGTGGAAGGGAGAGTAGGTTCCCAAGCTCCTCATCCCACTCAGTGGATCCCACCATGGATTAGCTGGCTCCCTGCCACTGTGGAATGAAAGGGGCTCCCTCCCCAGACAGCACTGTCCTTGCTGAGCTGAGCCACTGTGACTCAGCTGCTGGTGCTTATGAAACACCACAGTTTTCCAAGTAATTCAAACCTTGGTGTGGGTTTGTTGGGTTTTTTTTATTGGTCAGGGTTTTTTGGCTTGGTTTGTTTTCTGTAAACCCACTTTATTAAATGAATGGCTCTTTAACAATGGCTTTTTCATCCAAGTCGTGGGAAATTGGAAATATTAGGCTGTCACTTGTAGAAGTGAGCACAGCACATTTCAAACTCCATAAGTCAAAAGCAGCTCCACGGTTTCCACACTCTGACAGAGATTTTCCACCTCGGAGAAACCTGATTTGCAAACTGGTTTTGCTCCTTGGAGTCCCCACATGTGCTGAATACATCCCTATGTGCTGAACATATCCCTGTGTGCTGGTCCTGGTGCACAGTTGAGCAAGGATTTGGACTGATTCTCCATCCCATACCCGCCAAACTGGAGACACACCTTGCATCCAGCATGCCAGCTCATACATGGTTAAGGTCTCCAGACTTCTGGAGTCCTTAACCTCACCTGAGGATGTGCTGGATGCACTGCCAGACCCAGCACCTCCTCCACCATTCTGTGCCACCAACCCAGCAGAAGCTGCATCCCTGAAAAGCCCTGGCAGCAGATCCAAGCTTAGGAGTTTCTCCCTGCTGTCGCCATATGATCCTCAGCGGGGCAGCTGCCAAGCCTGGGGAACCTGTTTCCAAATCCATGCTGCAGAAAGGAGGAGGGAGGATGTTTAACCCACTCCTTGCTGAATGGCAAGCTGGCAGGGCTGTGGAAGGACAATGGCATTGTCACCAGGGTGGTGGCTGCTGCTGCAGGACAGCTGGGGAGCACAGCTGCCTAATGAGAGATTCAGCTGCTTCATAGATGGTGTGAAACAGGAATTTCTAAGGCCAGCACATGCTTCAAGGCAGTCTGGCAGCTCATCCTGCAGTAACCTGCTTGTGTAGACCCCTGAACAATGCTGAGGTGTGTCCTCAATGCCTACACAGTGTCCTGAGCTGGGTCTACAGGCAGGATGCTGGTGCCAGACTGCCTGTGAGCAAGCGCATCAGGTGACAGCCAAGCAGAGTGCCCTGCCTGATGGCATCCATGGGAAGGGCTGAATCAGGGTAGCCCCAAGACAGAGAGGTCCCACACTGGGCTGGGAACACATCCTAAAGACAGGGATCTCCATATCCACAGGGAACTCCATCCTCGGGGCTGGAGAAAGAGTGACATCCAATGCAATGTCACATGAGCACCAAGGGTTCTGGTCTTTTCACCCCACCTGCAGGGACCCCACTGCGGTACAGGGCAGAGGAAGGACTCTGGATCCTCCTTATCCTCTCACACCCATAGACATAGGGCTGTGGGGTGCCACCCATGGCAAAATGTGCCCTTGGGGTCACAGTGGGCAGCCAGGACCGGACACCAAAATGCAGACCTGCCTTTGGACAGTCTGAGCACTGCCCAGCAACAGGTCATGAACCAACCTGCTCAGTGACCAATACAAAGCCAATTTTTAAACCATGAGCATCCAGGGAGGTTCTGGTCACAGCAGATGAGCTCCAGTGTAGGCTGGCTGTTACTGCTCAGCTGCAATGCCCTGGCACCAAGACAGAGAGAGCTGACCTTTTATAGAATTGTGACAAGGAGTGGTCAAAAAAAAAAAAAAAAGTAAAGTTAACATTGGGAATTAGTAGGAGGAAAAACTGGAAGCAAGATCCAGAAAATGCTATTCAAGTACAAAAACATCTCTGGCTCAAAAATCCCAAGACACATGAGAAGCTGGAAAATGCATGGAAAAGGATTGCTTGAATTGGTTCACCACTTCTGTTTACACTGCTCACCAGCAGCAGCAGCATCCAGAGCTCACCCCAGGAGCCTGCAGCATCCACTGCTTGTCTGATGCACATGCACTGCACACTGAGCAATGATGAGCATCCCCGTGTTCTCTTGGAGCCCACCTCCAACATCAGCATCGTGGGCACAGCACCCCTAAAGCAGCACGAGCTCTATTTTTACACAGAGGGCCAAAAGGTGGGTGCAGGAACACCAACAGAGTTGATGTGTCTTCCCACAGTCGAGTGGGAAGAGTTAAGTGTCTTCCCACAGTAACACCTCCTGCTCCCAAAGCAAAGGGATTCATGAGGCACTGTTCTGCCAGTGAAGTGGAAGGTGTTTAGATGAACCATCACACTGGTGAGCAGTGATTACATGTACCCAGGACAGCTGTTAATGTATCCAGAACAGCTGTAAACACAGCCAGGGAGCACCAACACTGCTTCCAGCCTGGAGGCACCAGCACAGCTCCAGGCCGTGGCAGCAGGGATGTGGGTGTGCTCGCTCATAAACCCATCAGGCTGTCTGGGCTGACAGCTGGGACACTGATGTCCCCATGGCCCTGTCCCACAGCAGGGCTCGGAGCTCCTGCCGAGCCTGGGGACAGCAGGGAGCAGGAGTAGCAGCATCCCCCAGGGATGCAGCTCTTCTTGCCTCTCCCCTTCCATGGGTTGGCTTCTGTCCATTGACCCCTCAAACAGTTCCTGCTGAAGGCAGACACACCACACTTTAAACACAGATGCAGTGTTCAGCTGAGAATGGTCTGTCCATCCCCCCAGCCCCGGGCTGGCTGAGCCGGAACAAAGAGGTGCCTGCCCCGGGCTGATTATCTCTGCCTTCATCTCCTTCACTTGGGAGGATATCCTGGTATCATCTGCTTTTACCTGCTCGGGGCCTGACATTTGTTCCCTTTCTAGCACCTTCCTGTTTGGGACATTTCTTTGTCTAAGCTTCCTCTCCTTGCTGAAACCAAGTCCAGGGAGCATCAGGCAAACAATGTGTTGTACACTACTGTCAACATTCTGCACAGCAAACTGCATCCCACCCACTCCTTGAGCAGAC